CTCCCCCCCCCCAAAAAAAAGGAGGAATTTCAAAGAAAGCCATAATTTCCGTAATTCGTTTCCCTTCAAAGAAGTTCAATCAATGCATAGATGGGCATTATGGCATGATGAACGTGAGATGGTTTGAGCTGCGATGACTTGCTAATGCAAACGATGGTCTAGCAACCAAAACCGTGACAGAAGGGTTCCAAGAGGACAGTGAAACTGGCCCAAAGGGGCCTCCGCGAAAGCCAAAGCCGGACTTACAGGGCCTCGACCACCTTGACGGAACCACCTCGCTCGGCCTCGACCTCGGGGACCACCAGGCAGTGCGTACCTGAAACAGAAAGAAGACATTGGCGGGATCAGAACCATCAGAGAAAGAGGGGGGGGGGAAAGAAGAAGAAAAATTAGAAAATCATCACATAGACTTAGAAAATCATCACATAGACTATGTAAATTTTTCCTGAATAAGCCTATAGAGTCAGTATAGACTCTAAAGACTCTATAGAGTCTATACCTGAATGTGAAAAATTGTCATTGGGGCGATTGAAATCATCAGATAGACTTTGTCCAATCTTTCCCTTTTAAACCAGCAGCGCACCCGATGCTAAACGTACGAGTCTAAATTTGAATTTTGCCGGGCCTGAAAGGCGACTGGTACCACAGCAAGGAAAATTTGGGGTGGTAACCGTACCACGAAGGCCGTCGTTGTCTCATTTTCACTCATGTCGCCGTCAGATACATTCAGGAAAGTACTAGCCTGAATTGATTCCTTCGTGCCTCTCACAACAACAGGCAGGGAGGGCCTTGAGAAAAAGAGCATAAAGACGCAGAGACTATTCCTGCTGAGCTCTGGACGTCATTGCCTTCAGATTCATCCACGCCTGGCCGTAATTGCAGTCAGGTACATTTACAAGCGAGCTAGCAGTATGCTAAGGTTTTGTTTTCTTTTCTTCTTTTGCTTCCACTTGAGCCCTGCCAACGAGGCAGGGGGTTCTGCACTTTCTGCCTCCTTGCATGTGCACGTGTCTCTACATAGAGTAGAAACATTTCTAGTCGGATGAATTTGGGCGCTCCTATAGTGGCCTGTACATTTCCTAAAATTGTGGCTTGTTAACGGGCACGGCTTTAGGAAGTACTGGTGTACTTGGCCCAGCTACTGGCTGCCGAAAAAAATAGAGTACAAACGTTTCTAGTTGGATGAATTTGGGCGCTCCTGTAGTGGCCCGTACGTTTACTAAAATCATGGCTTGTTAACAGGCACGACTTTAGGAAGTACTGGTGGTTTAAAGTCCATTTTATAATTTTAAGATTTAACGGAAATTTAACCTTTTCCCTGGGCCCACCAGCTTCCTCCCCCGCTGCACTACCAGGCCTTCCCTGGGCCCGGAAAATGTCGGAGTAGGTGATGAAGAAAACCCTGCAAGTCTGGGGCTGTGTCCTAGTGGTTTGACGAGTCTACACCTGCGAGAGAGAAATGTTACTGGTGGAGTCTTCTTAATAAGCAGTGTATACCTGGTTCTTCCAGACATCCGTTAATATTTTAAAAATTGGAACGAAACAGAGAAGATTAGCACTGCCCCTGTGCAAGGATGACACGCATAAATCGTGAAACAGTCCAAAATTCTCCAAATTCTTAAGAAAAAGACAAAAAAAAGAGTCTATAGACCCTATAGGAGTCTATAGGAGTCTATAGACTCTATAGGAGTCTATACCCGATACTGAGTCAAATCTTTCACGTACATACTAAGTCAAACCTTTCAGGATCAAATCTTTCCTGAAGAGGAACAACACAGTCCATGCGCATCCGTTTTTTTTTTTCCTTAAAGACCCTCCTAGGCTCTTACTGTCTTCCCCCGAACACAACCCACCCTTACTTTGGCTGTATCTGGCCGGAAATATAGCGTGTATACATTCATTAAACATCTGCACACCGGTTACCCTCACCAGAGAGCGGCTACACAGTGGCAACAGCACCTGAAACACAATCTATCTATGTTCTCTTTTAAGTTTAGACGTGACAAACGGAATCCGATTTCGGGATGAGAGCATTTGGCGGAACCGGTGAACCATTCAGGTCAGATGGGACAGAGGGCTCATCGCACCTAAGATGCTCTCGTGAATGGTTGTCGACTGGAAGAGCGGCAGAGTGCACCGGAGGAACGCATACGTGCTTAGTTGTTAGAAGAAGAGGAGAGAACAAAAAAAAGAGAAAAATAATAGGAGAGGAGGAGGAAGAAGGAGAAGAAGAAGAAGAAGAAGAAAAAGAGGAGGAAGAGGAAGAAGAGGGAGAGAAGGAAGAGGAGGAAGAAGAAGAAGAAGAAGAAGAAGAAGAAGAAGAAGAAGAAGAAGAAGACTTCGAAAAGAAGAAGAAGAGGAAGAAGAAGAAGAAGAAGAAGAAGAAGAAAGCTGTGTACTTAGTCTCAACATCTTGCTGCTTTTTTTTTTTTTTTTTTCCTTTGTCACCTTGTTGCTTCTTTTGAATTGGAGAGTATGTGCAAAAAGAGCTTAATTTACCTTCCCTTGGTGCTGGAGTCCATTTCCCTCCTGCTTTTTCAATGATCTCCCTCCAAGAACCCTGCAACAGATAACCATATCACCTTGGTTAGGGTTTAGGGTTTACACAGTCCCAGTTTTCAATTTTACAGTCATCATACCACCAGGGTTTAGGGTTGTCACAACTGCACAGTAATAATATCACCAGGGGTGAAGGTTTGGGGTTAATATAATCTCACCAGGGCCTAGGCTTTGGCAATAGGTTAGGTCATATCAGCTGGGTTTAGGGATTAGGGTAATAAGGTGATATCAACAGTGTATCGGCAGAGGAAGAGGGAGGTGAAAGACAAGTATGATGGGAAGAAAGAAGACGGCGTGGAGACACCGGAGGGGGAGGGTTTGTGGGTGCGGATGAAGTCGAAGGAACTGGGGTTGGAACTTGGAAGTGAGATTAACCGATCAAAATGAGGTTTATTGCATACATTCCGGGAGAAGGCCATAACTTACAAGAGCAGAGCGGTCGGCTGTTAACCGATTGGTCGTAGGTTCAAACCCTACCTGGGGAGCTCTATTGTTATGGTTCGAGGAGGTAGAGTCAAAGATTTGCCTAATGGTGTCAAATACCATTGCATTCGAGGAGTGAAAGACTTACAAGGAATTCCTACTCGACATCGAGGGACTCGAGGCAGATCGAAAAATGGTACCAAAACTTCCAAAAGAAGTTAAAAAAAAAACAAATTGAAATATGAAACCAAAAATCTCATGTCCCTCTCTTCGAGCCTGTGATTTAGAGAATTGCAAGGTACAACAATTGACACAAAAATTTATCAACATTTGCATGATTCATGGGGATAAAAGCAAAATCTTGTGCTATTGTTTATAACACTTTCTATTGTCTAGCTAATGAGAACTTGTCTATGAAAAAAAAACAAAAAAGAACTTGTCTATGAATGTAATCACGCAATTTGTTAACGCGATTGAAAACGTCAAACCTATTTTAGGGCAGTAGGAAAAGACGCCTGCCCAGTACTGGGCAATACCGCAAATGGAGTTTTCCTCGCCCAACCGTCGGACGGCCAGGCTCCCACATCGCAAAAAGTTGTATGCCCCCTGACAGGGGCATGCCAGGGAAATCGCAGGTCAGAAGGGTGTTCGCCGAATACCCGACGTTTTGAGGGGCACGTGGCAAACTGTGGCATCTTTCAGAGGCATCCACCAAAACTTTCCCAATGTATGTACATCATCATAGAGAATTGCCCGGTGAACGATGGGCAGAGAGGGAAGAAGACAACACACGAGAGATTACTTCGCCGGAGTTTCGCCCACTCATTAGGAGGCTGAACATGATGGTCAGGATGACAGTGACGACAGCAATGTATTCACTTATATAATTATATTGGCACAAAAACAAAAGCTGCTTGACTCTGTTTCTGCATTCACCTGGCTACGGTTTTTTGTTTTTTTAACCTGGCTACATTTTAAACATCCAGCGAAACGGAGTGTGAGACAAAGTACTGGTTTAACGCATGGCAACAGGTATTGACAACGGTATTCGGACTATAAAAAAAATAAAAATAATAATAATAATAATTAAAACAGAATATCTAGTAGAAGTTCTGGCACCAGCTTTCGAACCAGTCAGTTGGCATAAAAATTGGAAAAAAGTTCAAAAAACAAGGGAAAACAAACAACAAGTAAACAAACAAAAACAAAAAACTTAAAAATGTGTTTGACACTGTTCGTACATTTACCTGGCTTCGTTTTAATCTCCCCGCCAAACAAAGTGTAAGACCAAGTAATGGTTTGTCTTCTGGCCGCAGATACCTAACCGGTCTTTCGCCAGGTGGCGGCTGATTCTTCGACCACTGCAAAAATTGGCAAGAGAGAGAGAGAGAGAGAGAGAGAGAGAGAGAGAGAGAGAGAGAG